GCCCTGCCCGTGCCTGATGCGGGCTTGCAGGGGGGACCCACCAGCATGACCCCTACCCCTGAGGGCCCGGAGAAGGGAGAGGCGAGGGGAAGCTCTTCCTATGTCCCTCAGCTCCTGGCTGGGCAGGCAGAAGATGTCACACAGGCGTTAAGTGACGGTTTTTACTTTCGCCCTCGTCAGGGCGAAATCTGGTCTTGCCTCTGCAGGTGATGTGCCTGGAGCCTGTCCCGAAACTTGTGTGGTTGCTGATGCGACCGCAGAGTGGAGGTGAAACGTTTCTCCTCTGGTTTCACAGGACCGCACGCCGGCGGTTTCACCTGCCTCCCTCGCACCACCAAAAACGAGTCCCCGTAAGATTTCTGGGCTGTTTGCAGCACAACAAAGACTTTAGACCCAGATTTAAGTTCTTTGCACAACCCGCTGCTGTTCCCCTTGTGAATTGAAGGTGCTTTGATAAACATTCTGAAAGGTCAGCTATTTTCACTGTGCCTGTGGCTTGCATAAGAACCTCAACATCCTCTGCTGCAAGAGCAGCGTTAGGAACTTCCTACTGCCACACTGAATCACAATAGCTTCCCACAGCAACCAGTGGTAAAAATAAACCGGGCAAGGGGAAGTGGACAGCTTCTGCTGTTCCGCTTTCTCGGGCACACTTGAGTCACACAAAAAAAAGGCGATGTAGAACAAGGCGTTTATTTTGCTGATGCCAATGAAATCCACGAGCGGTTCAGAGCGTGGCCCCCCTGAAATCACAGAGTGTTTTGCAACGAGATGCTCGCTGTGCTCAAAGTTAAGCATGTGCTCAAGTGCCGTCTCGAGTCGGTATTTTCACTAGAATCCAGATTTAGGAATTAGACTAAAAGGAGGCAGGGACCCCAGTGCAGCTGAGTGCTGCTTTTGTGCTAAAGGCACGGGAATACAGCCTCCTTGGGATATTTGATGTCTTGAGGGTATATAACAGACCACTGAGGAGACAGTGGCTCCGTAATGGTTTCATTTGTAGATCTTGGCTTTAAGAAGAGTAGATTTTGACTGGATAAAAAGCATCTTCAAATACAATTCAATTTGAAATTTTGCCTTGAGACAATGTCATTTGGACAGCACCGTTTTAAATGATACTACAACTAAGATTTTGTGTGTGTGCACGTGTTTGTTTGCGTGAGGGGGAGTGTTTTAAGAGCAATATCTCTCCTGTTACACAAGTTACAGCCCAGATCTTGACATTCAGCCAGCTGAGAAAAAACCCTGTTGAGACCTAGTCAGGTTGCTGAGCCTGAGAATCTGCTGGTGAGACAGACTCTGACTCTTCCCTTTGTAACAGTGTTGGCTAAGAAAGTTTACAGTAAGTCGCTAAAGACATGAAAATTTCGGGGGGAAAAAAGGAATGGCTCATCTGTCCCAGACCAGGGAGAAGGAACAGTTCCCCCTCCCATTCATACCCGCGGGAGTTTGGAAAGCAAGGGATTGTAGGATAACCCAGGCGACAAGGGACCACAGGAGGGCTCCAGTCAAACCTCCTGCTGAAAGCTGGGTCAGCCCTGAGGTCAGACCAGGTTACTTGGGGATGTGCCGAGCTGGAACTCGGCATGGATGGAGATTGCACAACCTCTCTGAGCAACCCACCAGTGTTTGACTGTCTGCATGGAGAAAATAGACTGCAGTAGAAGTGGCTCATACAGAACCACGTTTTTAATGTCATCCTGCTCATTAAAAAGAGAAAGATCAAATCTATTTTGTAACAGGAACAGTTTGTGTGGGGCACAGAAAACTTCTGGTACCAGAGGACTGATTCACACGAAAAGGCACGTAAAAAGATGGAAGGAAACCAAAGGATGCCTCCAGTTACATTCCTGTCCTGAAATTTCAGTCTTGCAGCACAAAACGTTTGTATTTATAGCAGTGGATACCAGCAGGGACGATACTCTAAAAATAAACAGGGATGAACAGATAAAATAATATATTTTCGGATAAAATTATTTGTTTTGAAGCTCATCCTGAGAACGAAAGGGAATGCGGAAGCTTAATGAGTCCCAGTGGGTTTTATTTTGGAACTGTGCGCCGCTGTCAGAGACCGAGGCAGGGCTCGGCACGACCCACTCAAAACCCAGGAGGGCCTCCGCGCCCGCCGGCCCGTGGACCGGGTCACCTCACTCCCCGAAGTTTTTGTTAAACTCCA